CCCTGGCTGACGGCGTGCCCTGGCTGACGGCGTGCCCTGGCTGACGGCGTGCCCTGGCTGACGGTGTGCCCCGGCTGGCGGCGTGCCCTGGCTGACGGTGTGCCCTGGCTGACGGCGTGCCCTGGCTGACGGCGTACTCCTGCCCCTGGGCGTGGCCGTTGGCTGACGTGCCGCTGACGGGTCCCAGGCTACGGCGCCTTGACGCTGCCGCTGACGCCGTTGGCTTCGTTGACCAGCGGAACGCCCATGAGCATGACAAAGTTAACATCTAACTTGGCTGTTGATATACGAAGAACATTGCTTCCAGACTGAGAACAAGTTTCAGCCTCACATATCTGCTGAAAAGTCGAATCCATGGCCCTTGCGTGAGACATGGAGGGGAAAATACTGTACCTGCACTGCGGGAGAAGCACAATGGTGGTCTGTGGTCTAAAGACGGGGCGGTTGCTGCGGTGTTCGGTTGTGTTATTTCAACCGACCCCGTTCCATCGCAACACAGGCAGCATGCACTCTCTCTCACGCAAACACACACACACACAAACACACACACAGGGAGCTAAAGGGGGGGCAGAGAGAGAGAGACAGACAGACAGCTGCTGGACCCACGGTGCGGCGGCGCGGCTTGCTGGATCCAAAAACATGCCTGCACCCGCGCGCCGCCGCGCGCAGCCCCCACACACCCCAACCCAACCCAACCCCACGGGGGGATGGTCAGCTGCTGCTGCTGCTGCTGGCCCAAATACTGGTGGACGAACAAGAACACTGTCGCTGGGGCACGGAGGCGAAAATGAGGGGGGAGGGGGAGGGGGAGGGGGGAGCAAGGGTGACGCCTGGAGGGTACACATGTTCCCGCCGCGTGTGTCGAATGCCAGCGGCCCGATTGGCTGCAGCGAGCACATGCACACGCACACACACACGCGCGCACACACACACACACACACACACACACACACACACGCACGCCAACCGCGCAAATCACTTGCACGGCCAATATGGCGCGCATTCCATGCGGCGCGCGCGGACCGCGGGATTCCAAAAGGACAGCGCTCAAAAAAACGTCAGATAAAGAACGTTTCTCGCAATTAGTTATTTGGATGTGTGTTGCGGACATGCCAGGCCGCGTGGGCGGCCGCCGAGTTATGGCGCTGGCGACACTGGAAAGCAAAACTGAAATTGAATGCAGTGGCGTGCCGTGCCGGTGCCGGGCCGGGCCCCTCTGCCTCATCCTCGGCGGGGGGCTGTCCGGCCACTCCGGCCCGCTGTAGTGCCAACTTTGCCCCAATAGGCTGTGAAATAAATCAGTCGCCCATCCTGGAAAGTAGTTAGTTGCCTATATCTCGGGCTATATCTCGTCTCCGCACGCCGGGACCAAGGCCGGGGCCCTGGCTGCGACGCGGCCCATAGGCCACGGCCCATAGGGCACGTCGGCCCGGCCTTCTTATACCAAGACGAGTTTAGTTGTTCTTCACCATCCGCCGCGCCCCGCCCCGCCGCGCCGCGCCCCGCCTCTGGCAACGTCCCTGCAGCGTCCTGGCAGCGCCCTGCAGTGCTGGGCAGCGAGAGGCCCGTATGGCAGTTTGTCGTCCGGTTTCAAAGGCGCCGAGGCCGCCGTCGTGAAAATGAGAGTGGGATCCTGCAGGGGCGGGCCAGGGCAAGGGCCGAAGGGGGGCGGAGGGGGGCGGAGGGGGCAGGAAGTCTTGGAAACGCTGCCCCCGCGCAACCCCGCCCGGCCTCGCCCACGGCCCGGCCCGGCCCCGGGTATTAGGAAGGTGATCCGAGCCAAACTTTGGGCGCAAACTTCGCACGAGTGCGCCCGCGCGCGCGCGCCTGTGTGTGTGTGTGTGTGTGTGTGTGTGGGCGTCCGTGAGTCCCGCAGACGCATACGTTTTCAGAATTTGCTCGCGTGTGTGTGTGTATGTGTGTGTGTGTGTGAGAGAGAGAGAGGAGAGAGAGAGAGAGAGAGAGAGAGAGAGAGAGAGAGAGGACGCGGGAGTTTTCGTGAAGAATGCCTTGATCGAAACCATAGACATGGCGCGTTTGTAGCAGCAGGGAAACCGGGGCGGACTAAGCAAGCCCCACAATCCGGCGAGGAAGGGAAAAGAAAATCGGAGGCGGAACATTTGCCCTGTGTCGCTAAACAGGATGATCTGCCCGCTCCGCGCGCTCCGCGCTCCCCTCAAAGACACGGCGCGGGTCGCGGCGCCGCGGGCGAGGAGGAAGGGCTACCAACCACCAGGAAAAAAAGGGAGAAATCCCAGTCGCGAGATTGGGGGTCATTAATTTCCATTAGGTTGCTAATCATCCCCGGCCGCTCGCCTCGGGCCATATTTCCTGATGACAGAAATATTTTCGATGCGATTTAGCGCCAAACTCGGCGGCCTGGCACGCCGCGGACATGCCGCGTCTCGGCGGCGGCTAATTTTTCTGAATGCGGCCGGTCGGTCGCGCCTCCCGCCTCGCCCGCCGCCCCATTAACCAGTAACTGGGTCCCTCTCTCTCCCTCTCGCGGGGCGCACAGTGGGCCAGAAGATCGGTGGAGGCGGTGTTCTGAGCTCCAGAGTCGCTGAACGGGACTCGAACAGAACGTGTGACACTACCAATGGATTTGTCACCGCTCAAACTGGCTTCGCGCGCGGACGAGGTTCCGCGAGTCGCCGCGAGATGGCGCTGCGCGCGCCGAGCCGCCGCACGCTCGCGGTGGCGACCTAGGTTAGCGTAGTAGTTTGTAAGCAAGCTGGTCGCATTCGGGGAGGACGCTGGTGAGACCTGGTGAGACATTTACTTTCATGTAACACTCATGCGGTGGTCCGGTCAGGTGTGAGAGAGATGAAAAGGTGAAATTGGTTTCAGAAATCGCTCTGCAGGTTACGGCTAGGGGCGGACGCGGATACGCACGGTCTGAGTCGAACCGCATACACACGCACACACTCAGACGCGCATCGCGCGTGGTGGCGGGTTCAGTACCGACGTGACGGCTTCTCAACGCTTCGAGTTAGCGCCGGGTGGTGAGGCAATGCGGCAACGCGCCTTGCCTACGGACGGGCAGACAGACGGTCGGACAGAAAGGCGCAGGCAGCCGCCCGACCGCAATTTGGCTCTAATCCTCGTAAAGGCAGTGCCGCTCGTTTCGCGGGTGGCGTGGCGGCGGGACGGGGCGGGGCGGGGCGTGTGCACCTGGGGCTGCGTGCGGATAGCGGTCGCGGCGTCGTCTACAGACGCAGCCCCGCGGCGCCTTACGGGCCAGACGCGCGCGTGTGTGTGTATGTGTGTGTGTGTGACAGCGCGCGCGTGCAGGCCCGCCAGTGTGGTGCCGACTGGCGGTTCAAACTTGCCGCCCGATGCTCGGTGCGTCTCGCGTCTGCTGAAGGGAAGGGTAGGGTTAGTGTGCAGTAGTTAGTTTGGCGAGCCCAGCCCGGCCCGGCACCGCGGCTTTTGGAAGCGGCATATGTGCTTCGCCGCTTCTCCTCGTTGTTAGTTGACTCTCTCTCTCTCTCTCTCTCTCTCTCTCTCTCTCTCTCTCTCTCTCTCTCTCTCTCTCTCTCTCTCTCTAAAAGAAACCAACAAATGTAAAAATTTAAAAAATCTCTCTAAGTTACAAAATGTAAAACCAGCACCACAAACATCAAAACTTTAAAAAACAGAAACTCTGCATGCATTTTGTGACAAAAATTACACCCCCCCTTTGGGCCCGAATGGAAATCAGAATCCCCCCAATAAATACTGTTAAAAACTAAAAAACTCTCTCTCTCTCTCTCTCTTTCTCTCTCTCTCTCTCTCTCCATCCCTCTTCCGGTTTTCTGCAGGAGTCTCGCTGCCAGCTGGCCGACCCGGGCGGCCGCAGCGCCGCTAGCCGCTGCTAGCGGAGCTCTGCTCGGACAGCTGCTGGGAGTGAAAGAGAGCAATCCCGTGTTTCGCATCAACCCCCACCCCCACCCCCTGTCACTGTCCTTGTGCGTGTTGTCTCTCTCGCACCCCTACGGCGCGCCCCGTGAGTGCGAGAGAGACGGAGCCTCAGCCCGACCGCGCTCTCGGCAGCAACGCCAGCGTGTCGACCTTTAACCTGACCCTGCCACTCCAGCGCGTCTAAAATAGGCCTCCGGTCGATCCTAAGCGGCGGCGCCTCGGTGTAGCCTCTGTGTAGCCTTAACGCGGACTTAACGGGCTGGGGCCGCAGCGCGCAGCGCGCCGCGACCCACAGGGCCGTGGACCACAGGGCCCCGGGGCCACAGGGCCTGCCCAGGGGCCGGGGCCACAGGGCCGTGGCCCCGGGCACCGGGGGGGATCGCGCCCCCCCCTAAGGGGCAACCCCCGGGGTGGGAAAAAGGCCAACCCCGTGGGGCAACTTTCGCACGGGCCCCCCCCAAGTCCCTGGTGTTGCCCGGGCTGGGCCCAGGGCCCCCCTCCCCACCCCAGGGGCCCGGGGGGCCCAAGGGGCGGGCCAGCCCCCAAAAACCATTGGGCCGCCTTTTTTTGGGGAACTCCGCCGGGGGTACCCCCCCAAGGGGGGGGGTGGGGTTTTCTTTTGGGGGGGGACTATCGGGGCGGGGCGGGGCGGGGCGGGGCGGGGGGGGGGCGGGGCGGGGCGCACCAGCTGGCCCGGTGTGCGAGTCCCGTTGTGCGGGGGCCTCCAACCACCGCGGTGCCGCCGTTTCCAATCACAGCCGAGCCGCACCGCCGCCTTATGCGAGCAGAACTTGTGGGCGGGGCGGGGCGGGGCGCGGAGTAGCACTCGACTAACGTAAAAGCGACTAGTACTGTACCCTGCCCGCGCCGCCCCACAAACAAATAGCTGCACCAATTGCTTTGCCGCCAAGACGAAGCCGCATGGCGTCGCTCGCCGCGAGACCGCCCCCGGGGGGTCTTGGTGTCGACCCGGAACACACACATGCGGCCCGCGCGGCCCCGCTCCGCTCCACCGAGGGGCAGATGGGGAACAAGCATCGCGGCGAAATTGGCGCGGAAGAGGAAAGTGTGTTATGTGTTGTGTTCTCTGTCGGCAGGCCTGCTGTTCCGGCGCGCCGTGCTCATGTCGGGCTCGGCGCTGAGCCCCGGCTCGCTGGTGGGCGACCCGCTGGGCTACGCGCACGCCGTGGCACGCCACGTCAACTGCTCCACCGAGCTGCCCGGCCCGTACCTGCTGGCCTGCCTGCGCGAGCGGCCCCTCCACGCGCTGCTCACGGTGCCGCTGGACCCGCCGGACTTCACCTGGGCCTTCGGGCCCTCCGTCGACGGCGTGGTCGTGGACGCCGGGGAGGCGCCGCCCGCGTCGGGGCCGTCGGGCCCGCCGGGGCTGCCCGACCCCGCGCAGTACGAGCACTTCAAGGTGAGTTGAAGGTCGTTGGGGGCCAACGAGTGCACGCCGTTGCACGGTGGGCCAGAAGTCCGGTGGAGGCGGCCAAAACTCAAAACGCGTCTTGGCCGTCTCCACCGGCTTTCTGGCCCACTGTGCGTTGTCATGTGAGCCGCGCCGCGCCAGGCGGTCCGCCAGGCGGTCCGCACTCGCAACACGCGGTGCGACGGTACGGCCTCGCCCGGCCTCGCCGGATTACCTATGGCCATTCACGTGGGCTCAGCCGCGCTCAGCCGCGCCCCCAACCTACAAAGTCCTCCCAGAAAGCGTCTTCCGAAACTCGTACTGAAAGCCATTTTCCCCGCCACTCGGGCCGCGGCACGGGACGCTGCGTCGCGCGCCTCGCCGTGAACCCCGCCGTGCTCCAGCCGTGCTCCAGTGCTAACCAGGCTCCAGGCTTCACTGGCGCAATTAGGCCGCGAAATGACGCAGACTGCAGAAACAGTCGCGACTATGCGCGTGAGTGTGTTTGTATGTGTGTGTGCGTGTGGGCGCGCGCGCCGCGGGGATGTGTGTGCGCTTGTAATGTGTACCTGCTGAGCAAACGCGCGAAAAGCAGAAGGCAGAGTGGGGCTTCGGATTTGAGAGCCTCTCCCTCCGCCTCCGCCCCGCCCGTATTACATCTTCCTCCACATGCGCCCCCCCCCCCCGCCCCGCCCCGCCCCGCCCCGCCCCAACACGCACCTGCCTAAGACAGAGTCGTCGTCGCAGGCAGCTTAGCTTGCCAAGGACGCTGGGAGTCGGGTAAAGGAGAGCCTTGGCGCCCGTGCACGCCCGTGCCGCGGCGCCTAGCAGTGCCCTGGCAGTGCCGTGGTAGCTTGGTGTAGTAGCGTCGACTAATGCCGCGCCCTGGCCGCGCTCGGAGGCGAGGCGAGGCGAGACCCAAAGGTAAACGTAAGACACAACCCCTGCGCCCCGAGGCCAGCCGCCGCTCGCCGCTGTGCCACACACACACTCACTCACACACACAAACTCTATCACACTCGCACGCACACACTCACGCGCCGCGCTCGGCAGAAGATGAATAAACAGCCCTGCAAGGTGAGCATCCCGTCGTCACGGCCCTCCTCGGCGCCCTCCTTGGCCACACCAGTAACACGACGCAAACGGTAAACGGCTTTGCGGGGGCGGCCGGGGGCGGCCGGGGGCGGCGAGGCCCGGCCGGGGGCG